GACAAACATGCAGCAGGCCCATGAAGTGACAGAAGGAGAGGACAACTGTGTCTGTGTAGCTGCCTACACACACAAGCACAGGAAAACCTCTTTCTGTGCTCTGTTCCACAAGTAATCCAGGAAAAGCCTTGGTACTCATACCAAATACATTTATTACCACAGATTTAATGGCTTTATTTGACTGTTGCAGGCACCCACATCTGAGACATCCCTGATCTCAGGCCAATCAAAGTAACAGTGCCCAGCACATGTTCTATTCTTCAGGGGTAAGTACCAGATCTGTTACAGGTTTAAATGTGCATGTGTTGCATATTTCTGGATTTATATCTTACATGAATATGACCAATAAAAAGTGGACAGAAGAAGAGAGCTCCGGAAAGAACTTGTCAACAGCATTTTCAGGTGAAAAAAAAAAGAAAAATAGGAGGTTTTGATCTGCAGAATGTGAAGTATAACAATTAAAACAGAAGGGTAGATACTTTGAGCTCATTAAAATTTCTTTTGAAGATGAAAGTCATTAGATTTCAATGAGAACTTGGAGCAGAAGCTCACATTGACATGAGAATATTTAACCTGTAGTCTACAGTGCTTCAAGCAATTGAAAGTATGATAAATAATTGCTTGGCTGTAGTAACCACATAGAAGGAAAAAAAGGATTACCCTAATCAAACACAGTCAGCTTGGTGTTGCCTGTCTCTGTGCTCCACATTTCATTCTGAAAGTTTGCAGTTATAAAAACGGAAATCCTGAGTTCTTAAAGAGGAAATTGTAAAGGATTTATTTTCCTGCCACCTTCAAGAAAACTTTGATAATATTCAGGGTCAGTTCTTCAGCTGGCATGATCAGCAGAGCTCTGTGGAAGCCAGTGGATCATTGCCAATTTATAACAGCTGAATGTCTGCTTTTACTACAGGGACAACCTTATTTTGGATTTCTTTTCTCCATATCTCTAACTCTTTCATTTTTTTCCTTTTTAAATTAGGAACATTAATAGCCAAATACATTTTTTTTGTTGTCAGGAATACCTGTCCTTCAAGCTACAAGACTCATATTTTTATGTAAGTGAGTTTCACCAGTGATTCTTACTCACATTTCAGTGTCACCACAAAGCACAAGCCAGGACTGCACAATCCTTTACCACACAGGTATTTTTTATGTTAAATCTGTTCAAAAAGCCAAATACTAATGTAACAGAGGCCTAAAGCACAGATAATGGACCCTCCTCAAAAGAAAGGGTAAGTTTGTCTTAGACAGCAATATCAGGGTAAACAGTGCTTCTCAAAAGAAGCCATCTAGGAAGAAAAAATGAAAACATTTTATTCTGCATATATTGAAAAAAAGCAGTTTTATCTTCCATATGAAGAAAGTGCTCTAAGGAAAGTAACTGATTTCATGAAGCCTTTTGATTTTGATAATAATCTTCTTTGGGGTTCAGGGAATACATTTCTGACTGACTTGACATAAACAGGGTTGTGTAGGTCCACTGCCAAGAAACCTGATTGTAATGGATGACTAGCATGATGCTAGACCAATATCCATCCATTTCCAAAAAGGCAAAGGGAAAAGCCCAGAAACACACTCATCTAAAACAAAAATATATAAATAAACACCTAGATACTTCTGTCTGAAATAGACCAAAAGAAAATTTCCCAAGAGATTAGAGCCCTAGGGCTAGAAGAGGAGTTGCTGGGCAAAGATGGCTTTTGTAAAGCAAAAGTTCTTTATTTAAATGAGAGGGTTTGGAAATATGACAGATGGCCTTCATAATTTCTCAGAGGATCCACCAACCCAATAATTTTCTCATGTGACTGGCAATGAAAGAAACTGGACTTAAAGTTCTTGCTCTGGTAAAAAAATCTCAGAGTGTACATTGCTCATATCCCATATCTGGACCACCAGAGCTGCTGAGTTTGGGCATATCTGTGTTGATGTTCTTTTTTAGACCTTTCACAAAATATGTGATGAAAATATCCCTGTTTTCCCACAAATTGTTTGCAAGGGAAGGAGAACCCAAAAGTCAAGAATGAAAGATGCGTCATCTGAGATGTGCCCTGTAAATCAGTGCTGACAGCTAAAAAACTCTGTAACCCTTCTGAAAAAGCTATTATCTGATTGGATCCTCAAATTTCAACTTGATAAGCACTAATACCAAGTTACAACTATTTTGTTGCAAAGGAGGTCTTTTGCTATCACTTTGCTGGAAATCCCATTGGTGAAACTGAGAAAAGCTTGTCAAGAGCCTGTTTCGGTGGAAGATTCCCTATCTGCTTCTGGCTGTTTTGCAAAACAAAAAAAAGCTATTTTATTACATGCAGCTGTTGAAAAAAATGTGGGTGTACAAGACCTCATGTAGCAATTGCTTCTGTGATTGTTCTACAGTAAAGAGTAGTGACAGTGGTCACTATGAAAAAAACCTTTGCCAGTTTTTTAAAATTTATTGAGCACCAAAACAGAACCTGGCAAAGCACTGTCACTCCTTTTCATTACTGGAAACACCTTTATTTTTTAAAAAGTCCTAGAAAATCTAGACAGATATTTTAGGTTAAATGGGTAGCTGCACATCTATTTAATCACAGGCACTTGCACACCTGAATGTGCTCTGAGCTTGTTTGATGAATTATCTCTGATTAATTTTCTTTGTTTTACACAAAGACATTGTGTCCCATCAACCAATGCAACTAAATAGATCTTCGAGGCCAACACAATTCTTCCCACATACCAGGACACAGATATTTCAGTTTAGTTTATTTTCTGAAGCTGCTCAACACTTCACAGTTTTACTAGCATTATTTTGATGTGATCAGTGCCATCAGTTGCAACATTGAGGTTCAAATTTTAAAATGAAATTTCAGAGATAAAAAGCATTAAGATAGTTCTATCAGCTATAATACTGGAATATACTGCAGCATTATTTACAGTGTCAGATTCAAAGAGGCCACTAGAAAATATCAGTTGATGTATTCAATGGCTTGTTTCCCAACCTGAGTCCCACAAGAACCTCAACCAAAAATTATCACTACTATTTTTTCCACATTGTATTTTTCCAATTTTTTCTAATTGTTTATAATTCTTCATAGAAGCCCTTTCAATTCAGTTACCCAAAATAATACAATATATATAATGTTTTGCAAGACACAGCTTCTGCAACTGCCTTTATACCTTTAGGCTTTGTGACTTGACACCATAATGATCTTGATTTATTAGAAGATAAACCTTTTCCAGTGCTTTTTCTTTTAAATAGTGAACTGTAAATAACTTATCCAATATGAAAATGCTAAGTAGCTCCTTTGAAATTCTAATGGAAATTGTCTACAGTTATATCACCCACCGCAAAATCCTTGTGTTAATACTTTACCTGTATATATGGAACATACAGGATTGTAACCTGCACATATGCATATTTCTGTGTGGGTCTGCTGAGACACAGAAATTTGGGTGGGGTACAGCCAGCATATTCCAAAACAGAAGGAGAGATTTTGTTGCTGGTTTTGTGTCTTAAAGATTTGTACTTGAATATTCAATGGCACAACATTGCTGTTAAATATAATTCAACCAACATTTTCTGCCCTCTTTCTTTAATTATTTCAGTTCTGTGGCTCAGCTGGCCCAAGCTTCCCAATTGTCAAATCATCACTGAAGAAACCTTCCTGCAAAGCTTAACTCCAGTCAGCCCTCATTTTCTGTCAGTAACAGCATTTTCTGCCTGTGCTTATGCACTTGCATGTGAATGCCATGGCACACCTTGTTGTCAGCATCAGGATGAGTCTGGATAGAGAAAAGACTGGTCATGGACCAAAATCCTTGTGTTTGGAGCTCTGGCTCTGTCCATATTAAACCCAAGTCCTGGGCTAACAAACCTTTTTAATTACTCCTCTGTTCTCCCTCCCTACAGGCACCATCTCCAGCACATTCTGCCACCAGGCAAGCTCTGCTCCACCTGCCCTACGATCAACAGCAAATCTAGAGCTCAGAGGTCTGTTCTCCCTGACAGCCTTTACCAAATCACTTTTCCAGGCTTGCAATCCTTCAGAACACTGTCACTGTCACCAACCCACTATTTCCAGAACACTGTTAAGTGCTTATCACTTAAAACTTTAATTGCTTAGTAATGAAAACTTGAATTGATGGGAGAATAAACTCCTCCTAAGTGTCTGGCAGAATTCCAGCTCCAGTCCATAATAATCAAAATTCACTAAAATAGCATTTTTAAATATCCTTTGTTTGAAAACCTTTCTATACCCAAGTGTGTGAAGATCTAGATGCAAGATAGTAACTTTAAGTGTTTATAGGATTGAGCCAAAAAATTGTTTCTGAATTAACAATTGCTAATTTGGGGTTGAATAAAATCTCTGTGTTCACCTTGAAAATATCTAAGTTATTGAAAATCATATTTCTCCTTCCTTTATTTTACCTGCTAGTGCTGTCAGGTACATCAATCCCTCTTAGAAATGTATGTCTCAAGAGAAAAACACTCAGCTTCCTCCCGACCTGGTGCTCAGGATGGAGACTCCTCCATTGTCACTTTGAAAGGATTTACTATTGATTGCCAAAGCTACTGGGCAACCTGAGGGACTTTCCTCACTTTCTGAAACAACATTCTGAATTTTCACAACTTCAGATGAGATACTGCTAGAAATAAAGAGCTCATTCCCTGTATATTCTGCTCATGTGGGTGCTGATGGAGCTGTTTAACACAGTGTTACTTGTGAGACATTGGATTACGTTGGATAAAGAAAAGGAAATCAAAGCAAACCGAATTCTTAGCATACCCTTAACTATTCATGGCATTGGACTGGATTCCTCTTTCTAGTTTTTAGAAACTGCAGAAGAAACATCCTGAAAACATGCAAAGCACCAGTGCTAGTCCTTACCATCTCTTAACTGTATTTAGTCCATGGTCAAAATCCCAACCCATTTCTTTCAGATCTCTCACAAGAGCTTTGCAGAGGTTTTGGGCAGTGTTCCCAAACACAGAGCAAGAGATTTTCTTTTGCTTTTACCTTCAGGGCCACAAAATGAGAAGCTTCTGGCACTCTGATGTTCTGTCACTTTTTAATGCAAACTCTGGAAGTTCACGGACACGACGCTGCACAATCTGAGGAAGATAAATCACAGTTACTTCAAGCCAGCTGACAGCAGTTTAAGCAGCTGCAATCATCAACCACCAAGGGAGTTTCTTCTTTTATCTTACTAAATGCAAAAGTATACCAGGAACTGCTAATATCACTGGACTATCAGGAGTCCTGCTTTTACATAAATATCAGCAAGCGGTAAGTAAATTCTGTTGACGAAATGTAATAAAACAAAGACGGTTTCAAATATGACCATTCCCTGATGCATTCTGTAGCCCCCTCTTACTCACTTATTGCATGCTGCTGAGATTATAAGGTTTGCTTTTATCTGTCAGAAATCAATATTTCAAACATCGGATAAAAGAGGAAATTGAACTGGGAATAGGCTGAAGTGCTGTAAAAACTACAAAGCACAATTATCAAAAAGCACTTAAAGTACTTAATAGGACACACATATAAAAATGCTCAAATTAATGTCAGGGAACTATAATGAGAACTTTTTCTATGCTTTTTGATCCAAATGCAATGCAATTCGAGTGCAGCCTGGTCAGTCAATACAGTTTTCAATTTATATGAAACCCTAAGGATTTCTAGCAATCCATTTGCTAGAACTGAACCATTACATATGATTGGTTAATATTTCAATTTATTGAAAATACATTATTTTGTGTAAAGTGTTTAAGTTGTTGTGGTTTAATCATTATAAACAGTTATGATAAAAATAGATCTTTGGGTAAACAAAGACCTTACAGTCACGCTTTTAATAAATACTAGTATAACTAGAAAATTGGATTTTAAGAGAAATAGACATAAGGAAAAACTGCAGATATGGGAGTCACAAGATGAGAATAGATCTTCATCAGCACACATTAAGCTGAGAAGGTGCCTTGTAAAATGTTGGAAACCATGGCTATTTTTGCTATTTTTTTTATTAAAAAAAACCTCCTCACAATTAACGTTAGTACTTTCCTTTTATATTTATATATTCATTTATCATCTTTAATACTACTGAGCTGGAGGTCTTTACAAAACCATACTAGATCAGAAATCACTGCAAATGGAAGTGCACATCTGTATGAGCATCCACAGAAAACAGATTGAGCGACTTCAGAAAATTTGATATGAAGCACAAAGGGCTGCAACACACAGAGGAGTTATAGGCATGATTTGAGCAAAGAAGATGCACATTAATTAAATGGTTGTATCCAACTGTAGCACTCTTTCCTAACCTACACCCCACAAGGAACAACAAGGGACTCTTGGAAATCTTTCTTTGTGGAAAGTTACTCTTAACATTTACATGCTTCATGTTTATATTTAACCATGACATTTCTTTCATATGAGGGAACCTTTACTCTATCACAATTAAAATCTGTCTCTGACTGGAACTACACCAAACTCTCTAAGCTGTGGATCACTCTGTGGTTTCCACTAACAAATTGTTCCATGAGCCAAACACCTTCCCACCACCTTTCCTCATTATAGTTTGGAGCTCAATACAGTACAACCTCTTAGTTAAGATCCCTCCATTTTTAAGTCCAATCTGAATCTTTGCTACTATAATTGTAGTCCTACTTCTTGGTAAATTTTATGTGATGAAGAAGAGGTTATATAGCATTTCCCTTTTGCAAGAAAGTTGACTATGAAGGCACAGTCATCACACAGATTCTGTGAGTAGCACAGCCAGGCTCTGATCTACAGAGTTAATGACTTCTGCAATTCACCAAGTTAAACTGCACAATACACAGCCAAAATCTCTCTTCTAATAGCTCTGGTCTTGTGTATATTGAGCAAAACGTAACATGATTTAACTGGGGACACTGGCAAAGATATCCCCTAAAACAGTTTTCACATTTGAAAACAGCCTTGACAAAGCTAAAAATAAATAGATTGCTTCAGCTGCATACTGTATTCACTTGAATGGTGTCTTGAATTTTCAGCTATCCTGAACCAACAGGCTGGTTTTCAACAGAATCATCACAGAGCATACAAACTTTTCCAAACTGCATTTTTCCAAATAAATAAGTAATACAAATTGTTTTGTTTTCTCTGAGGAGAAAACATGCTATGATCTGGTAAGGCAATTGTAGTTATGGCAGTCATAATTGCATAGAAGCTTCTTCTGTTTCACCTTATTGTATTTTTTCCTTCAATTATTAAATTCAGAGGCTTAACCTCAAAAGAAAATGCACTTGTCTTTACATACACTTGAATTGTTACTGCCATTTAAAACTAATCAATGTTTTCTTTAGTACCATAATAGCTTATTTGCAAAGCACCTCTTTAAGAGATATTTACACGGTGTTCTGGAAGTAAACATGCTTCACATTCTAAGAAAAACTCCCAGTAAAGACAAAGAGGGCTTCATTCTCATCTCAAAGTTCAGCACAACTAAAGTGGCTTAAAGAGCTTAAAAATTTGTGCACAAAGGGAATTGCTACTAGATGATACCCTTCCATTAATAAATAATACAGGGAAGATCTATGCATTGTACACAACCCCTATATCCCTAGAGAAGTCGAGGAAATTAATTTTCAAAGGCACAGCATATAAATATATGCTTTCATTAATGTTAACAGGAAAGCAAACAGTTAAAATCTTATTATTAAACTGTGTTTAAATACACATTCCTTAGAAATAATATACCACTTCTGATTTGGACCTTCAGCTGCATATAACTCAGAGGACACCGAGGCCTCATTGAGGGTGGAAAGCCCAAGCTACTGCAGTAAAGTCAGAACGTGCACTCAGAGTGCACTTTGGCACTCACAGGAATGTTCACACCGCTCTCCTCTAGGAATAAAGGGGAGATTTTTAAATTAGTCCCCATAGACTTCTCCAGAGAGAGGTCAGAGAAACCAGGTTAAGTAATATGAGTACCCCTAGTGTCTTGAGATCTGCAGTTATTTAACAAAGAGAAGTTTGAATGAAGGAAATTTTGCGTAAGACTCACAAGCAAGTTTTTTCATTTCCAGATGTAAACATCTACTGCTTTAATAAGCAGATCACCCCCAGCTCAGGCTATGCCTGTATTTAAAGACACCAAACCCATTGATTCCAGAAGAGTAGCAAGACTATCTCTACAATGAAAGTTTTAAAACCAAAGCTATAATGGACCAAGATTTGCCAAAGGGAGGAACCAGAATTATAGTTGAAGGCATTGGACAAAGTGACTGCCACAAAGTAATGCAATGACCTATGGCTAAAGCAGCCATGTTATATAGAATACACAAATTTTAAATTGTATTTTTCAGTACATTTGTATCTGTGAATTTGGAATCTATTACTTTTGTCTTCTGTAATGCACAACCAATACTTTGCATTTGCTATCTTGAAAATTTAATGGGGGTGGCAGAATAATTTTGTCTTTTATCTGTTTACTGTATCTAGCTGCTAACATATGCTAGATATGTGGTAGCTATCATATATTGCAAGTACTGTTACTTTACAGAAATCAGTTCATTCCCTGATTTCCTTTTATTAACCAAAATTATCTTTCCAGCTGGTCTTTAATTAAATATTTTGTTAAGGGTCATTAAGGAATTGCATAAAATCCTCATAGTTTTCACTGCTCATCATGAAAATTTCATTCAACTGTGCTATAAATCTGAAATTTGTCTTCCAGTTTTACTACAAAACATTTTTAGAACAAGTATTGCAAAAAACAAAAACAAAACCAACCAAATCATCCAACAAAACCTCCTTAGTTTCCAGAAGAGAATTTCCCATTAAATTAATATAAAATATAAAATAGTCAAGAGTTTACTTAGAATGTTAAAATAGTGTGATTGAAAAATGAATACTAAGATTTTTCCATTCTTCTTCACTTGAGTTAAGATAAAAGCAGGTTAAATTATAGATTATTCCCTCTCTTTAATAAAGCTAGAAGGTGGTGAGACAGTGTTGGGTAGATGCATAGTAGTAATGGATTATGGAGATTTTTGTCTCCTGGGTCACTGTTATGAATCTGATCCAAGACAGCAGTGATGAAATGTCAGTGCCATTTTATGGCTTTTAGCATGAAATCCTGACCCTGTGAGGTCAATGGCAAAACATCTGTAGTGCCAGGATTTTCACCTTTTGAATCTCTGAGATGTGAAAAGAATTAAGGTCTGACTCAGCATCCATTGACTTTAATGGGAGTTATACTAAGTTCAAGGTGCAGGTTTTTAAAAGTCCTTAGGTGCTGCTTTGCTCATGCTTTAATAAGAGCTGGATCCTTCAGATGACTCAAGCACTTAAAACTCCAGCATTAAAACTATAAACTTTTATCTTTAAAGTTAAATGTTCTGCTGACTCCCATCCCCTTGCTCCTCTGTCTGGATGACTGCTCCACCAGGCTGAGCACTGGACAAGGGCTTCTTTCACCATGTATTCCCTTCCCTTGCTTCTTCCTCTGACAGCAAAATCCTTGTCCCAGATGACACAAGGTCCAAAACCTCTTGGAGAGCCTCTGTGGCCCTCAAGAAATCTGGCATGGACTGTGTGCTCTGCATCCTGTCTGCTCAACTTACAGCCAATTCCCATGATACCCACTCCTACAAAACTGAGATCTCTGGAGCAGAGTGCTAGTAAACCTTTGGGTCAAAATGACTAAATTAACAAAGCAGCACAACTCATCAAACATGCTTTTTGGAGTGATCAATTCGAAGAAAACCCTTATCAATTCCCTGAAACAGGGAGAGGTGTCTTGTTATTTTATCTTATTTTATTTCCTTTGCTTCGATAGTGGGTGTTTTGTGGAAAGGACATTACCAGCCATTTTAAACCAGGACTCACAGGACCCTAACTCTTAAGTCTTGCCACTTCGCAGCTTTGAAAATGTTTGATCCTGAAAAGGAAATAAGAATAGAATCAGACTGGACAGTTAAATTTTAAGTGCTTATCTAATATGAAAACAAATTTCCAAAATGAAATGATTTGATCATGCCCTCCAAAAATACTAAGGTACAAAAATATAAAAGTTATGTCTTGCTGTAACGTGCTTTCCAGACGTATTTCACTTGCAGTTCAGGCATGTGCT